CGCCCGCCGGGCCTGTGTGGTGGGCAGCAGTGACATGCACAGAGCAGGGGGCTCCCTCAGCCTCAGCCCGGCGGGACCCCTGTACAGGGCCCTGCACAAACTTCCAGGCAAAGAGGATGAGCCGGGCCTGCCCAGGCCTCACTCCAGCTTGGGTGGCCAGTTGTGGCCCTCTCTTGTTGCTATGGTGACGGTGGCCCTGTGGCAGTACTTGCTCCAGGGTGGGGTGTCTGGAGCTGCACCCTGCCTTGCCTGGTCACTGCCCCCTGGAACGATACGGGATGCAATAGTGAGTGATGGGCGTAGGTCCCTGGCAAGCAGGGTGCCATGCTGCAGACCCCCTGGTGGCCACTTGATTGGCCCCCGATGGCCTGTGAGCCTGCCAAGGCACCGCTCCTCAGCCAGCCTGGGCGCTGGTGGCTTCACAGGAGAATGGGAGAGTCACCTCAGCTCTCAAGTCACTACTTAAAGGACCAAAAATCTCCGTAATTAAACGGTCTCGCCATTCCCTTGCACGCCCCATCTGGGTCCACTTAGCTCATCTATGGAGAGGTCTCAGAGGGGTCGCCGGATTAGTCTGTATCTGCAAAAACAACAACGAATCTTCTGGCATCTTGGAGCCTAACAGATTTATTAGGGCTTAAGCTTTTGTGGGCAAAACCCACTTTATCAGATGCATTGGAGTGGAAATTAGAGAGGCAGGGATACACACGCACACACTTATACACACGCACGTGCGCATACTAGTATATCAGAAGAAGGGTAGGATCGGTGTTAACAAGGCATATCTATACAAGCGACACTATCAAAGCACCCAACCACAGCATCAGGGGCTCATCCACTAATGTGATCTACACCATCAAGTGCCAGCAATGCCCCTCTGCCATGTACACTGGCCAAACTGGACTGTCTCTGAACCAAATGATAAATCGACACAAGTCAGACATCGGGAATGGGAACACACATAAACCTGCAGGGGAACATTTGAACCTCCCTGGACACTCACTCATGGATTTGAAAGCAGCCATTCTTCTACAGTAGAATTTAAAAAAACAGTTACAAAGGGAGAGGACTGAACTGGAGTTCATTTGCATATTCAACACTATACAGTTAGGGTCGAATAAGGAAGTCAACTGGCTAACTCAGTACAAAGGCAATTTCCCCTCTCTGGATATTCACATCTCCACCCCAAATGCTGTGACTGACTCACTTCCATCCTGACCTGATTAGTTTGATTAACATAAACAACTTCTTCCTGATATACACTCCTGCTTGTGTAACTTCCACACTAATGCGCTTGACAAAGTGGGTTTTACTCACAAAAGCTGATGCCCTAATTAATCTTTTAGTCTCCAAGGGTATGTCTACACTACAAAGTTAATTCGAACTAACGGACGTTAGTTCGAATTAACTTTGATAGGCACTATACTAGCGCTCCGCTAGTTTGAATTAAGTTTGAACTAGCGGAGCGCTTAGTTCGAACTAAGTAAACCTCATTCTACGAGGACTAAGCCTAGTTCGAACTTACTAGTTCGAATTAAGGGGTGTGTAGCCCCTTAATTCGAACTAGTGGGAGGCTAGCCCTCCCCAGCTTTCCCTGGTGGCCACTCTGGCCAACACAAGGGAAACTCGTATGCCCCCCTCCCGGCCCCGGACCTCTTAAAGGGGCACGGGCTGGCTACGGTGCCCGTGCCAGGTGCAAGCCTGCCAGCACCCAGCCAGCAGACCCTGCACCTGGCACGGCTCGAGCCAGCCACCTGATGCTCCCATCCCTCCCCCTCTTCCCGGGACCAGGCTGGCGGCTCCCGGGAGCTTGCCCGGGACCGCAAGAGGCGGGTACCCGCCTGGTCTAGTGCGGACATCGTGGACCTCGTCCACGACCTCCGCACTAGGCACAGGAAAGTGGCCGGCTTGGGCAGGAGAGCTGCCAGCCTGGCCACCCAGGAGCAGGTGTGCATGAAAATCAAGGTGGTCCACTGAGACCCCTGACCCAGAACCCTTAGCTTACAATGGCCGTATTGGGTCAGACCAAAGGTCCATCTAGCCCAGTATCCTGTCTGCCAACAGTGGCCAGCACCAGGTGCCCCAGAGAGGGTGGACAATGATCAAGAGATTTGTCTCCTGCCATCCCTCTCCAGCCTCTGACAAAAGAGGCCAAGGACACCATTTTATCCCCTGGCTAATAGCCTTTTATGGACCTAACCTCTATGAAATTATCTAGCTTCTCTTTAAACTCTATGACGGTATGTCTAAACTACAAAGTTAATTCGAACTAACGGACGTTAGTTCGAATTAACTTTGATAGGCGCTACACTAGCGCTCCGCTAGTTCGAACTTAATTCGAACTAGCGGAGCGCTTAGTTCGAACTAGGTAAAC